ACATTTTTAATTTCCGAGAAACTTAACGTAAAAAAAAACGTTTTGAGAGAAAGTTTAAATTAATAACAGGAAGCTCAAACTTAATTTTATTTGGATTTCAAAAAGAACCCAGAAATGTGCTAATTTTTTAATTAATTATTATTAATGGGAAAACAGATAAAGATTCGTTATATTCAATACGACGCAAAATTGTCTTCATATGTATGGGTCTTACAGCCTTTGGATGGTGTCCACCTCCATCTCTCTAACTGTCTGGTAAATTGTTCTTCTTAATTGTTCTTCTAAATTGGCTTCCCAGCCGTTGTTGTAAACCTTTCTACTTAGTATTCCCCAAATTTTGTTTTCGATTGTTTGCAGTGGGGGCACTATGGGGGGATTACCTTTTCTTAGGTACAAAACTTATATTATTGCTTTCTAACCAATCCCTGGACATTCTAGTATAATGGCAACTTGCTAAATTTGGCCAAAATATTACATCTTCGTTATTATGGTGTTCCCATATACGTATTGTTATGTATTGACCGCGTCACCTCTAGCACGGCCAATGAATTGTGCTGAAACGCCGGCCGGAGATATAGCCCATCAAACCAAAATTTTATCTTCAAACTTTGCCTTCGACTTAAATTTTACTTGTAATTTCTTCTATATTGTTTGTATAAAATCCATCGTTACCTTCCATCTCTGAATGGGCAAACGTAAAATATTTTTCATCGCCCAGCACAACCACACGATTGTCCAGAAAATGATGAATTCTCAATAGCCGGCAACATCTAAGAATTCTCTCTAACTGCGATGCTGTATGTTTTGAACATTTAGCTCTTTTGCTGTATTTGAAGTTGTTTTTGCCTATTTCTATAGAAAGTGTTATATAGGAACTCTAAACAATCGAGCCAATCTTCTTGTTGATGTTCCAGGCTCTTGTCTTTCTTCTTAATCTTTCTAAACTTATTGTGGTATTGCTACCTCGCAGTCTTTAATTGTTCTGTATATAGTTGCGCGTGTAATATATTTGGTCCAAAATATATTCACTATATTAACTGGTATATGGCTCTTTGCAACTCTATTTTGTATGACATTGTTTAAGCGTTAATTGACATAAATCTATGACATAAATTGTATAAAATGGGAAATAAGAAAGGTGTTTGGTTACGCTGTTGCAAATGTAACTTGATTCGATTGCATTTTAAGTTAAAAAAAAGATAGGAGTATATGTAAATTTTTCTCAAAACTCTTTTACGTACTAGCGGTGAAAGTGACATAGAATTGGAACATCTTAGTAAAAGTAAAGACGACTACAGTTAAGACTAATCTAGTTGAGTGCATGTATTTAGAGAAATTTTAGTTGTATTGATAAATTAAATTCTTAGATGGAAATAACGATATAGATATGAAAATGCAAGAAAAAAAATATAGAATTTGAAAATATTCATGATTTTAATCTTTCCAATGGCACTACATACCTTATTTATAAACTGTTGACACATGATGTACAAATTAACAAAAAAAAGAAGACAAATAAACGCAAAATTTAAATTAATTTAACAAAATAACAGAAACAGACCAATTAGGATATTTTCTTAATTAAAATAATAAAGGAGGTTGTTGCTGTAAACAGTGTTTTTCATCATTTGATTATAAGTTTGGCAGTTAATAAACGTTTTCACGCGAAAATAATGTCGTTAACTCTTACAGACGTCTCCCAAATTGTCGCTCTGTTTCTGTTATTTTGTTAAATTAAATTTAATTCTGCCTTTATTTGTCTTCTTTTTTGTTGCTAATTTATACATCATGTGTCAACAGTGAATGGTTCTTTAATAAAATAACGATCACTAGGTAGTTAAATTAACAATTTTTAAAGTTTGGTTTTGCGAAATTTTACAGCGTGGTAGGTTTTTTGCCGGTCAGTGTATACGCATAAAAATACAGTTATAAAAGGTAACAAAACAATATTTTTCATAATTAACAATGCATATTAAGATCATTAGGTGATTAATTATTGTAGGAATAAGCTCGGTTTGCGCAAAGGTGGAGATAACACAACGACCGTAGCAACGAATCTTAACTAATTAAAAACTCAAGTAAATTTGCTGCTGTTACTTTTATATGCTTTCTTATGAAATTATTTTTGTTTTATGCCTAGTATCCCGCAAACGCTTTCGAGCACGCCACTGGAACAACCAGTTTCTCGGAGGACCTGGAAGAACCATTTATGACCCTAGTAGAAAACGCGGTACCAGACATTTTTTCAAACAATCTTCCCTTCTCTCATTCTAGACATAATGTACTGTCTCTTTATATGTGTCTGAAATTTTTCTGCTACTTGTACTTTAAATGAATTTCAACTATCAATCATTTTTTTAAGTTGCTTCAAGGTGACTAAAATTTGACATGATAATTTTTTGTGTAAAGAACTCAGCAAGTGGTAACTTTCGACTCAATTGGAGTATTTTTAAGCTCCCGTATGAAAGATTGCTTTGGGGTACTTGTTAAGAGCAGCTTAAAAAAGGCTGTTTTTTTGCATTATCACTTCTCGTATACATAAAAACTAAACACCAAGTTTCGATTTGGTAATAATATTTTTAAGGCCCAGTCTTCAACGTTGTTTTGGGGGTAGCTTTTAACGGTTTCTCCAAACGGGTTGAAATTTTGCATCAACAATCTTCGTATTGAGAAATAAGCAAATCTCGAGTTTTGACTTGACTGAAGTATTTTTTACCCCCAGTCTGTAAGTCTGTCTGGGGGTAGTTTTTAAGGGTCTTTGCCAACGGGTTAAATTTTTGTGCCAACAATCTTCGTATTGAGAAATAAGCAAATGTCGAGTTTTGACTTGATTGGAGTATTTTTAATCCCCAGCCTGCAAGGTTGTTTTGGGGGTGATTTTTGAGGGTTTCTTCAAATAGGCTGAGATTTCGTATCGATAATCCCCATATTGATAAACTAGCAAATATAAAATTTTGACTTGATTGGAGTATTTTTAAGCCCCAGTCTGCAAGGTTGTTTTGGGGGTAGTTTTCAACGATTTCTCCGAACGGGTTGAAATTTTGTATCAACAATCTTCGTATTGAGAAATTAGGACATATCGAGTTTTGACTTGATTGGAGCATTTTTAACCCCCATTCTGCAAGGTTGTTTTGGGGGTGATTTTTAAGAGTTTCTCCGAACGGCTTGAAATTTTGTATCAACAATCTTTGTATTGAGAAATTAAGAAATATCGAGTTCTGACTTGATGGGAGCATTTTTAACACCCAGTCTGCAAGGTTGTTTTGGGGGTGATTTTTAAGGGTTTCTCCGAACGGCTTGAAATTTTGTATCAACAATCTTTGTATTGAGAAATAAGCGACTGTCGAGTTTTGCTTTGATTGAAGCATTTTTAATCCCCAGTCTGCAAGGTTGTTTTGGGGGTGATTTTTGAGGGTTTTTTTCGAATAGGCTGAAATTTTGTATCTATAATCCTCATATTGAGAAACAAGCGAATATCAAATTTTGACTTCATTGGAGCATTTTTAACGCCCAGTCTGCAAGGTTGTTTTGGGGGTGATTTTTGCGGGTTTCTTCGAATGGGCTGAAATTTTGCATCAATAATCCTCGTATTAAAAAACTAGGGATTGTCAAAATTTAACTTGATCAGAGTATTTCTAAGCTCCAGTCTGCAAGGTTGTTTTGGGGATAGTTTTTAACGGTTTCTCCGAACGGGTTGAAATTTTGTATCAATAATCTTCGTATTGAGAAATAAGCAAATATCGAGTTTTGATTTGATTGAAGCATTTTTTACCCCCAGTCTGCAAGGTTGTTTTGGGCGTTATTTTTGAGGGTTTCTCCGAATGGGGTGAAATTTTGCATCAATAATCCTCGTATTGAAAAACTAGCGAATGTCAAATTTTGAACTGATTAGAGTATTTTTAAGCCCTAGTCTGCAAGGTTGTTTTAGGGGTAGTTTTTAACGGTTTCTCCGAACGGGTTGAAATTTTCTATTAACAATTTTCGTATTGAGAAATAAGCAAATATCGAGTTTTAACTTGATTGGAGCATTTTTAACCCCCAGTCTGCAAGGTTGTTTTGGGTGTGATTTTTGAGGGTTTCTCCGAATGGGCTGAAATTTTGCATCAATAATTCTCGTATTAAAAAACTAGCGAATGTCAAAATTTAACTTGATTGGAGTATTTTTAACCCCCAGTCTGCAAGGTTGTTTTGGGGGTGGTTTTTAAGGGTTTCTCCGAACGGGTTGAAATTTTGTACCAACAATCTTCGTATTGAGAAATAAGCAAATGTTGAGTTTCGACTTGATTGGAGCATTTTTAACCCCCAGTCTGCAAGATAAACTGTGGTCTGCAAATTAGACAGGCCCGCATTTGAGTTAAAAATTTGAAGTGCGGGAGAACATTCGTTGAAAACGCATCACAGTTTAGAGCACCAAAAACTGTCGTCATGCCCAAAAACATTGACAAAGTTCATAAGAAGGTTTTGACCCATTGATGAATGAAGGCGTGTGGATTAGCCGAACCTAATGGTAGCTCAACTGTGAGAGTTCATTTTATTAACCCGCAATGTAATGGAGAAATCAGCTCTCTTAACAAATTTCAGACTTTTTAAGGCTTAATTTTTTGTTGGGGGTTTTTAAGTATTACACGTGTTCACTAGAAATTATTCTTTGAAATCTCGCCGTCAACTTTCTGGAGATGGTGAACAGACAAACTTTGTTAGCATTCTGTAATCTCTAAATAACTAATGTTAGTCTCATTTCAAAAAAGTCCATTATATAGATGTAGATTTTATTTTCAACTCCTACATTACCCATAGTTAAGAATTTTTACACTGAAATTCTATTTATCAAGTGATTTGAGAATCACTGCAGTTAACAGCAATAATTATGCTAAACATACTTATAAAATACCCACCTTTATAATGTATACCATATTAAAGGCTGATATTATGCAAACAAAGATATGCATATGCTATATAAACCAAAGTATTTTTGCAAATTTAGGTAAAAATAAGGAAGTCTTAAGACATACAACATGAAGCAAATCATTTGTATCATTTTAATTATTTGCTCTCTTTCCTCCATTTATTGCTACTCGGGTAAGTATTTTATTGAGTACTAAATTTCTGTATTTTACATGCACTGGTTTTAGGGCCAACCGAGTGCCAGGGCGCCAATGAAATATATAATTCGTGTGGTTCTCCTTGCGTCGCCACATGTGGAAATAGACAATTTGCAAATTGTGTAGCAGAATGTGAAGCAGGTTGTTTCTGTAAAGATGGCTACTTGAGAAACGATAACGGAATCTGTGTATTACCAAAGGATTGCTATTCATACTGAGACACTTATATACAGCTGCCAGATGTTCTTGCTGTTTGATTCGACTTAAAATAAATAGGTTTTAGCAAACATTTTGTTTCATTTAGAATCATCATATTGATCTTCTTGACTTTGGGCTTCCATACAAGTAAACCTACTTACCTAAGATATGACATAATTTCTGGAAAAACAAATTAAATAAAAGTCATTAATTACTTGGATTAGCATGACTTTAACTTTGTTTTTTTTTACACTTATTTTCTACGATTGAGAATATTCTTTTCATCCCGTCCGATGTCATGTCACATCGGTTTTATTAGTTTCATCCAACTGATAACTCATATCACATTGCATTGATAACGTACTGAGCAATCAAGACTACTGACTTGATTATGGCGTTTTTGAACGTTTGTTTTCATCAAAATTTTTGAAAGATACGCACAATTAACAATTTTGAAAACCGTTTGTTCAAAAGCCACTTTATCAACTCCTTCAATTTTTAATGCATCGTGTTTTGATTGTAGGTACTAATGACTTTTCTCACTTTATATTTTATATGTAGTTTCGCTTAAAGAAATAGTTGTTGCAACTCGTAACAAACTTAGTTACTGCAACCGATCGAAAGAGTGGAAGACTAGTAAAAGCGGCAAACAGCTGAAATTTTGTTAAATACCTAGGAAATTAAGTGTACGTAAAATTACTAATTTTTATTTTAATCAATTATTTGAATACTAGTCGAAGTTTAGGAATAAGAGCAGTATACAGAAGGAAATAAAAAAACTGTAAGTAGTAGTTTTACTTCAACTGTCATATATTCAGAAAATCACAGAGTGATACATACCTGTGAACATAGCTTTTCGGCCTAATTTTCTTTTAAGTACACTAAAGCCAATTCGTTTTTCAAATTTAAAATTTCATTCATGATCTCTGCATTATTTTCTTCAAGTTTCTTTAACGCTTCACAATACATTTCTTCTTTTTGTCTGTAAGTCCTTAAAATTTTCAAAAATTTCTCTTCCTTGCTAAAGTATTTATCTGAAACAATTTGATCAGAAATTAAGTTCTACTCCTAACATTCAAATTCCATACCTAAATCTTTTACACACATTTCTTTTAAATGATGATTTTCATTCTTCAGTTTATTAATATGATGAACGAATTGGTTTTCCTTAGAATTGAAAAAATGTTTTAATTTTTGGGTTTCGGTATTATGCATTAACATTTTTTTACGCAATTCTTCGTTTTCACTATTTAACTTAAATAGTTTTCGTTCTAAATTGGTGTTCTGATTTTCCTTTGATTTAAGTTGTGCTTTTAAGTTCAAAACACTTTTCTAAAAAATTAATGTTATTAGTTATCGGAAAAACGGATACATAATGATATTCTGTAAACGTTTTTGTTTTTAGCTTGAAGAGGAAAGCTTAATTTAATACACTGTGATGCATGCATGCCGTCGGAATCACGATGCAAACCTGTATTTTACGCTTATAGACATTTTTGTAATTTGCAACGTATTATACAAGGCTAGTATAAAGTCCCGGAACAGTCGAATAAGATTGTAAAAAAGTCAAAAAAAGTAGGCGGCCTTGTGTGTCAAACCGAAAGCGATAAAAAAAGGAAAAATATTGTAATCATGTCGCCATGGTTAACTACATATCCACACCAAATTTCCAAAAAAGTTTTTCAAATAACAACGTTATTCAATAGTTCCGGGACTTTATACTAACCCTGTATTTTTTAACAAATTTTGATGGATCATTAAATTACGATTACATTGATATAAAACGCTATGTATTTATTTTCCAGATGTTTAAACAGTCCTTAACAAAACTTATTAGTTTGCAACTTGTGGCGGTTAATAGAATACCACGCGTTAAAGAGTGCATTCCTAATTTAATTTTTGTGATCTAAATCACACAAAGGCCGCAAATATGCCGAAATCATTTATGTATAACAATAAAAATTGGTCTAAAGAGTTTAGACAGTACATCCCTCGCTGTCGGAAACTTGACGACTGCATGCCTATTGTGTTTTTTTTTCTCATTACATTTTTGTAGTGGGAATTTAAAAAAAAATTGTGATGACGTCATCAACATTTTTGCAAGGACACGTATATCAGTTGGGACAGATGTAGTGTAATACTAAGAATAAAATTATTGTATTCCCAAATTTTCGGGAAAATGAATTGGGTCGTTTTGAATATTGATTTCTTATAATCAATAAAATAACGAAACAATTTACTCACGTATACGGCGCCGGTGTGTAATATCTAGAGAGCGGATTTCTGTCGGGCTAGGCAAGGCCAAACTCGGTACGGCTCGTACGGGATGCGAATTCATTGCGGTTGCGGACTGCACTTCGTTTATTTGAGATTAGAATAACGCTGTTTCGTTGCATCTGCTGTTAATTCCCGTTCTCATTTACTTAGCCGTTTGATTAATAAATCGTTAATTATATTTATGGAATTAGTACTGATTAAATTCAGTGATTATCTATCACCCGCTACTGAGTCCCGGCGATCCAGCGCGTCACCACCTATAATCGTGACGTAGCCCGACAAAAATCCGCTGTCTAGTAATATGAAAGGCAACTGAAAATCGTTTATGTATAAACATTCTTAATTTAAGATGACAAGCGTAACAGCATACGTGAGAGTCAAACAGAGAAACTGTAAACAAAACGACCATCGGTTTTATTGCTTCGACTTCCGCTTATTATATAAAACATTGGGTTTTATTTTAATTCTTGACGGTGAAATTCACAATTGGTTGATTATAAACATGTCTATTTCACATTCGCGGAACCAAGTGAGCGCATAAAACAAATGCAGGTCTGTAATGTTAAAGTCGATGTAAATAAGCGTGCTACCCTTATGTTTCAACCGAGTTTTTCCTTTAACAAATTTTGTGTCTACCAAATTGGGTTGGTTGGGGTTTAATACTAATAATAAGTGTTGCCTTTAATTTAATCAAAAAATAAATTGACTTCATTAATTTTTTTGAACCACCTCTTAAGAAAATCTAAAAAATATGAATGGAATGATAAATCACAAGTACAAACTCATCATATTTTTTGCATTTTAGATAGGATGTTTCAGCAAAATTTAAGGGTGACGTCATCAATTTTTTTAGGAGGGATGAACAAATACATTTTGAACAAAAGTTTACCATGCTTATAATAACTTTAAAATATTCCCAAGATTTCAAAGCATTCGGTTTTGTAATTCCTGATTAAATCGATAAAATAAACTCACGCCTTCATTAATTTTTTTGAGTCACCTTGCATATGCAAATCCAAAAATATGAATGGAATGATAAATCACAAGTACAGACTCATCATATTTTGTACATTTTAGATATGATTTATTCCACAAACTTTTGAGCTGACGTCATCAAGTTTTTGGAGGGGATAAGCAAATATTTTTTGACTAAAGATTTATGATGCTCTTTATAGCCTTAAAACATCTGCAACATTTCAAAGCATTCTGGTTAGCAGATTAAAAATTAAATTTCAAAATGTTGTTTTATAATTTTGATTTTTTTTCCAAAAATCTGGACGTTTCAGGTGAAAAGTCGATTCAGAGTGAGGACTATGTTATTTTATACAATTGAAAACCCATTTACTATGTACAATTTTGAAGTGACGTCATCGCATTAGTGGTGGGGATGATTAGACAAATTTTGGTTAGCGTTTTACCATCTACATGATATTCTTAATATAAGTACAAAATTTCACAACAATCGGTCGAGTACTTTCGGAGATTATCTGTCTAATAAAAATCCGGGACGGCAGACGGACGGACGGACAGACGGACGGACAGACGGACAGACAGACGGAAATGGGAGACCTATTTCTTCGTCTTCTAGGGGTCATGAAAGATCGAGAAAACGTAAAAGTAGAGAGTCGGCCGACGGACTCGATTACAATACTTCCTTTGCTTACGCTCGGGAAGTAAAAATAAATTTAAGGGAGTAAAATTTGGATTGCGAGCTGGCCATCATGTGGGACCTTGTACTGACGACCCAATTTTCATAATAAGGTTTTCTGAACCAAAAAAATTAAACTATTTCAGACACGCATTAAATAAAGACGGGCAGTAAAGCAATCTTGTTAAGTGTTCAAGATTTTCAGGTTAAAAGTTAACAGTAGCAGAATGTATATATATACTTGGAGTAGGCCTTCGAATTGTTATTGCTTTCATAACAGGGGTAATTATTTTCGAACATTAAGTAGGCAACAGAATCTACCTTGAAGCTTGGATAGTTTCACAATTACTATCTTAAATGAGGTGGACTTAAATTGAGGACCAGCCTGCAGAGGCCGATTCATAAATTGCGGACCGAGTAAGGGATTAGTACCTTACACCGCGGGGGTCGCGATAGGGTAGATTAAGTTTAGTTTCCCTAGTTCTAATTCGGTTTTATCATGTGTAAAAATTAACTTCCTTAATAATAGATTACTACTGCCGGTGATGGAACAGTAATGAATAAGGATTTAACCATTAATAAATTGAATAATGGTATCGGCATGGTTAAATCCTGATTTACTACCATCGCCGGCAGTAGTAGTCTAGTGTTAAGGAAGTTAACTTTTACACAATAGGGTACTATCATATAACCGAATTAGAACTGGGGAAACTATACCTACCTGGGAAGAGTACCACATTGACTACAGGCACTATCTGATGATATTTATTAATTTCTAACTTATTATTTAATTATCGCTAATGCTAAAAATAAAAATTCCCGAAAATGGAAATTCACATACAATCTTCTCACGAATAAAAATTAGAAAAAAATAGTGGGAAACGGTGGTGCTAATTTGCGCATTTTAAAAATTATTATCTACGTGCCCCGACTTCTGATTGGTTCCAAAATTTTGGATGGACCCATCACATGTGATTTCACTCCTTAAGTCTTCTTCTTGTGGCTACATAAAAAAATTCAATTTATGCAACACCCTTAAATGACTTGGAAGAATTGCGGAATAGGATAACATAGAAAATCAATAAAATTAGTAACAATGCAAGGGTTTTAGAAAAAGTGGTCAACGCAGTAAAGCGCTGGGATAGGTTGTGTTTACAAGAAGGGGTTCCCATTTCCAGCATTTGTTGTAATTTGATGTTGAACTTGTTTAATAGCTCAAAATGTAACAGATACCAGACCATACAGAATATTCGACCGAATTATGCGGAATATTTTGTTATTGTTGTTACGGAAAATTTCAATAAAGTGACGTATTTTTATGTTTTCTTTTACTTTATAATGGAACAAAAACTTGCCTGCGGAGACTGTAATGAAATGATCGTTCTAATAATCATTACGATTTTTGATTACTTCATATTTTTTACAAGTAACTGGTCAACACAAGACACTTATCATTTGGTTTTTTAAAAATAAATAATTAATTTTGAAGTAGTGCTAGCTAACCAAAGTTTTTTAAGAGCTCGAAGATGGTGTTTCTTATGTTGACCTGCAAGTGTCGGTTAACAGATAATTTGTGGATGTAATAATATTATAATTATCGATTAATTTTATTTTAATTATTTGCTTTAAACAGATTTGCAATAAATTGAGAAACTGTTGTCTAACCTTACATCATTTTGTTGTTAACTGTCAGTTTCCTTGTCATTTTCTCATTTTCAAAAACTGTTAGTTTTTGACGTGACTCTTTCAACACTAAAAAAATTTATTGTACACCCGTTGTAACTGTAATCGGAATTTCATGACCTCTCAAAATCCGTTAAAAAAATAGAGAGTCGTAGACAAAACTTAACGGCAAAGGAACATCATTTGCGTCAAAATTTTCCAAAGATTTGTACATTAAGTATAATTTAAACTATACATAAACGTGCGTTTAGCCACAATTCAATGTGATAAAAATTTAAGTTAGCACCATAGTGTCACTCATACGCTAAGTGAATGTTACATCCACATTATATCTGTCACTTGTGTCACTCTATTTTGATACTCAATGCAGTAGCTAAAGTTGCAAAATTTTGACAAATCAGGTGTATGCTATTAGAGCGACCCCACTTTGTCATTAAGTTTTGTTTGCAACTTTTCGTTGCAATTTAAAAAAATCTAGGTTTAGATCCCGACGCCGATGCCATACATGCATCGTATTTTCAATTTACTGAATTAAACTTCTTCCGATAACTACAAACAATGACGTTTACAGAATTTCAATATTTCTATCCGTTCTCAGAATGCAAGACTGCTGAAATAGTATGTATGAATGTCTTATTTCTCTGTAAATTTTCTTAGTTTTAAGCATTCGGAAGTTCTGCAGATTGCACTTTTTTCGTGTAATATAATCAGTCAAGAATAAAGGGTATACTATGACAACTCTAGGGGTCATTTAACGTCAGAAAACATGAAAGTAGCCATTGACAGAATACAGCATATTACAATATATATTTCCTTAGCTTATGCTAGAGAAGTAAAAAGCTAACTTGAACTCTATCCATCAAAAATGTTCAATATGTTTTAATCTAGATTCATTAAAAAATAATTTCCAATGATGCAGTACTTTTTCGAGTTAGAATCCTGACTTAATTATTTGTATTTCGTGTCTACCGAATGATACGTGTGATACCGACTTATCATTAAAATTTCAAACTTGCCCGCAGAACAATTATTATTATTGTCGCTCTTGAATCTTTAATAAAGTTTATAACTCTTGTATAGACTTTCAGTAAGTACACGGCCAAAGGCAGTGCGCGCTGGATGTTATGGCAATTACTAATACACATTAATGAACTTCCCTCACTTGTGAAGTACAGTACAACATATGCGGTTTTTTCGAAGTTATAAAATTTGATTTCGCGAATTTAATTTTATTTAAAGATAATCCCTGTTCGTTAAATGATTATATAAAATAATTTACAAAGCAACCAAAGATATAAAGCACAGCTTTCATTGTTGCTTTCGTAAAAATTTATAGAAGGGTTAAACATAGTGACCTCATTTCAGTTTGATTAATAGTAACGTCAAATTTGGGGTTTTAAGGTAATTCGCCCCTGCTATGGTGAAATGCTAAGGCGAATCGTCCTGGTGAAGATTGGATAAACGGACGTCTGCTGGTCCCAACTTGAGCTATGATTGTTTCTTCACTTTGATGTGAATTATCATCTACCATTGTAATAGCTGTGGTCCTGTGGCGGCAGGGCCACAGTTATTACAATGGTCGATGTGGCCAATGTTATCTCAAGCCTTTTAAAAATTGTATCTGAAGGTGCTATTCTGTTTGCGAAAGATTTGACAACAAATTCAAGTGATTGAAGTCAAATTGTCGGAATCTTAAAGGCACGGTTGCTAATATTTTAAAAAATTAAAAAGATTACCTGCAAACGCCATCAGAATGTTTTTTGTGTTGCACTTTTAAAAAAGTTAAGCTGATTAACATTCATAAACAACCCTGTTTTTGGCTTATAGGCATAGTATAGAGATCATTATTATCATCAATGATCTCTATACTGTGTTATACTGTGGTGATATAGGTTATATCATATGCAACCATGCACGCAGTAAACAATTGTTTGTGTTCTTTTTTAAGCTGTCCAAATTTTTTCGTAAATACGACCACAACTTCAAATACATTCAATTTCAAAGTTTTCTGTACTTATATAATCAACGCAGACAAACAAATTATTTAAATATGTAAATTTACACAAACCTGTAAATCTTCCTGTTTCACATCTTTTAATCTATGTGTTATATTCTCTTCTGTAACTTGTAATAAAGTTTTCCTATATGACTGAACTAATAAAAAACTGTTGTTTACTATCGAACGCAACAATCTTGAACCAGAAGTTTGTAAATCTATTGATGGGAGTCCTAGTGTTTCAAATTCCTGTAACATTAATCCAAATATTTATTATCCAAATAAATATAATTCAAAAATATACTTGTGATAGAATATGCAACTGTTGTTGTACTTCGTTCGTAGGTACAGTACCACCTGACACATATTTTTGCTCAATTTGTTCAATAAATTCATCAATTTTTTCGTGTTCCGTCATTCTGAACTTGTAACAAAAACTAAATTATTGTGGTAATTTCAGAAGTATTACCTATAATCACTTTTTGTTGTTCTCTGAAATTCAATTACGAAAGTAAACTGAACTAACTCACTCTGTTTGTGAAAAATCTGCTTCCTAAAACAAAAAAAGTTAGGTTATGTTGGTCATATAAATTTTGATTGGGGCGGGGGGCAGTCAGGGGAGCAGCCTACTTAAGGTGCGATTACAACAAATGCTAGTCAACAGACCAGTCGGTTCTGTCAGTTTGAGAGTTCGCTTAGAACGTTGACAACTTCATTGGTTACAGGAGTTTATTGGTAACATTTATAATTAATAATTTGTAAACATGATGATACATACTACAATACATTTTATAGCACTAAAGATTTTAGACAGCTCACTACCCACATCTCTGTAATATGTCTCAGTAACAAAACAATACATTTTGAATCTTGATCGTTTCGATTATGTCTATTCTAATAAAAGATCCGCAATTTCACTATAAATAGCCAGTTGTGCCAGTACAACTGCAGGTTAAACTATGTCGCTAAATAAAATTGTATTTATTTTGTATTAGGTAGTTACACATATTATTGTGTATAACAGTATAACTATAAATAGTATTTGCTAATTTTACTGAGATGGCAGCCAAACAATTGAATCAAACGATGGAATACATTTAAATCAGAGATAATAGAGATATGACAGCTCGCAAAATTAAGCGACAATAGTCCTTATGTACTGTGCCCCAAACCGTCACTTTCGGGCGCGCTATTTAAATTTGAGTGAAACTTTCGTAGCGCGGCTATTTGATTACCAGGGATATTTCCAATCGTAAGAATATACCAAAAGTGGTTAATCTTTCTTCCAAAAATACTAGGTTGCTCATAAATGGAAAAAGACAAGATTAAAAAAATTACAATCATTAAGTTTATTCGAAAAATGATTGTATTATATCTAACATTTGTTGGTGCTTTTGTAATGTTTACATCCTGATTAATAGTAAATGGATAAAAAAAACATTAAATTACTCAAAATGCTTGTATTAACTTTTCTTATCCTTTAAAACTCTAAAATGTGCATACACAACACAAACTGTACAATTTTATAGCGAGGATAATAATAAAAGTACCCTCTAGCTCATTCAAAGATTGTTATTACAACCTAACGTTGAAATTCAAGGACGACACTTTAAGGGGTACAAATACAGTTATAATATTGAATGTTACCTTTTCATTGCGAAGATGACTTTAGTCACTTTTAGTTCTGTGCGGGTGTTAATAAAATTATTTTTATCCTCATATTATTAATAGTTATTTACATCACACTTTATTAGAATATAACCAAATACAAGCTATTGTTCTGTATAAAATATATGTAGCACAATCCAACTGGTAATTGTGCTTTTGATTTAGCAACATTTTGTGGGGGCTAACAAATCCCACAAAATTGTGCAACATGTAATATTTGTATAGTCTGTATTTATTGACTTCCAACCACTATCATCCTGAAACTTTCTCTTCGTACACCTGCATGTCGTAAAACCTATCTTTTGTTCGCCCTTCCCAATAATTCTTATCCTTCGAAGATTTCGAGTACCTTCTAAGAACCCTTTCGACACAACCGTTTCACCGCTCTCTACCGACCTGTCTTTTCATTTTCAAAATCACAGACAACACTCTTCACTTTTCCCTTATCTACTGAACCGACAACATTAAAAATAAATACACCACAAACGCAAGTCCTCTTTTAATCATCTGATCACACCACAATTCTTATCTGCTAATGAAGATATCTCCAATTTAAGTGAGAGGTACAACATCACCACCATAATTAATAATTCCCAACCATCTCATAATGCCCTAAAAATAGATAGGATAGAGTACAAAGAGTTTGATTTAGCTGAACAAAATATCTTACGATAAATATGTGGATACTCAGTGGATGCATGCTTAAAACACTCTTCTCAGATATGCTGTGAATATACAAATGCATGTGGCAGAAATTCTAGAACTACATTATTGTCGTTTCCAAGCCCACAATTCTGAAACTTTATCTTATGGCAATCTTAATGTTTCGTATGAACAGTTTGCATATTACATTGAACAATTAGAAAATGCCTTCAGTAGATAATACACTTTCGCTTCAAGTTCCCAGACAACTTAAAAACCAGCTGGCCTTAATAGCATCCATGTAGTAATCTCCCCCTTGATTACCTTTTGTCATTATTTGTGCGATTACGTATATTTTATACATTGAAATTCCATAATAGGGAACTACAGAAGCAACCTAAAAAACAGAGTAAATTAATCATTTTGTCCCATTTATAGAGCATTTGCCAGTTTCATCGATTAATAATTAATTATAGCTGCAGAAAATCATCGGTTTACTTATCGATGTTATTTTTATAGAACTATTCCTGTACTTACCAATAGTATATTGTTTGTTAAAATGTATGTAACTGTAATAAATACATACATACATATGCAGTTAACATGACTTTTCTTTTATAATTTGAAACCATCGCATCATATTTAATTGAGGTTATCTCAGAGTTCGTGTTTTTCGTTCGTTATGTCACTTTTACTAGTAATATATTTAGTAACATTTAACATAGATATTAAGATATCAGGTTTACCACCACAAATGTTGTGCCCCCAACCGTCCTTTACGTCAAATTCTGTGTTCACTTCGCTCCCATGCATTTCTTATGGAGCATTCAAAAGCTGTCATATCTCTGTTATCTCTGTTTAAATTAAGTTTACGAGGAACTGGCTACACTTGAACTACTTGAAGCGTCATGAGTCATTGTGACTTAAAAATGGTTAGAAAAATATATAGATCTCGGTGTATTATAGGTAATAATAAATTACAATTTATTTACAACTTTCATTATTTATTCTGCACATAATTAATTTTGATGAGTTTAAATTATTAAGGGTGAACTGTTGACATAAGGACGTATATACATCTCGCCAAAAACTACATATATACCTACTTACCCTACAAAAGTGTTCATTTGTGTTTTATGCATTAACTAGATAATCTTATACATTTAATGATATGCTTAGGAAATGTGTTCACGATGAACGAATTGTAATAATGCGAGCTTTTCATAGTGGACTCGCTAATATTTTGTGTGCTCTTAGTTTAAAGACCCCAAATATATGGTTAGGCTTTTTTCAACTCAAGATTAAGTACCATGTACATATATGTTTTGCTTAGTATTTAACAATTTCAGATAGGTCTATATTATTTTGAGTGTTCTACAAAGTTCTACAATTACATCGAAAAAATGCCATAGAAGATCTATATCTGTTTTTTTTTTCTTTGTTATGTAACAGAATTTCATGTTTTTGTGTATAAATACAAATTGGAATTTGCATTATTGAAGCTTTTACTAACAAATTGTCTGATTTATTAGTCCGTTTGTCCAAGGTTATTGGAAATGTTTCTTATATCCTAGGAAGCTTAAAAAAAGTTTCGGTCTATCTATTTACCACTTTCCGTTTTTGTTTAAGCCACCTACGATGAAGAAAAAATTATAATAACCATGGAGGTAATATCACAGGAGAGAGCGTCCCTCATTTAACCAATGTTAAAGAAACGCCGGTAAAAGAGTTCCACGCAAAAGTCATTTATGACCCTTTCCGTAGTACACCGGAAGCGGTAGATTGTCAACAGAGGATCAGAGGCGGTGCACTTTGGTTACGAATGGGTGCATAGGTAGTATGTACTTAATCAATGCCATTAACTTGCTACATGTTAATTTTTGTATCGTATATCCAACCTCTCGACAAGCGCTTTAGAGCACGCGACTGGAACAACAGTTTCCTTCTTCTCATTCTACCTTCGTTATAAAGTAGTCTATAAGAGTTATAAGGTTATATGACCATCATAAAAGTAGTTATCGCAAATAAATACCCCCTTTGTGTGGTTATTAAGCACTTCATTTGAAAACCGATTAACGGAGTGGTGGATTTAGTGAAAGTCACCCCTGAAAGAAACGACAACAGCCGGTCGAGCTACAGTGGACACATTATTTACGACCCTAAAATCTTTTCTATTGTAAACAACTTAACTTCGACACAATGGGATAATTTTATGATGGCCATATAACCTTATAGCTCTTGGACTACTATACTATGGGACATCTTACAGTTAACATCGTTAATATATACATTTCCTAGAAATTTTTGATATAAATGACATTTCTTTGTCACTAAGTTTTGTCTGCAACTTTAATAATATAGTCTTTGCCATTTCTATTGAAACACCATTTGTTGATCGTAAATTTGGCAACGTTCATATTCACACAATTTTCTAACTAAAAGCCGTTGTCAATCAACCTAAAACTGTTAGCAATTGCTAAATTTTAGGCAAAATCAACAGGTGGTGTTTCAATAGAAATGGCAAAGACTACCTATATGTTTATAAAATAACTAAATAAGATGCTTCAAAATAATTTAGACCCGATTTAATAGAAAGCGAAGTTAAAGTTAATTCGCGATTAACTTTTAATTGAGGTCCGTTGCCAGGCAACGCGCATATTTTAACCAATCACGGGCTCATATTCCACATTTTAATTCTCTGTTAAACTAATGGAGGATTAAATATTTAACTCGCTTTTCTATAAACCGGCCCTTAGTGTAAAAAAAATATACAGGGTTGGAAGGTACAATGGGCTCAAAGGCGAGGCCTAAGTGCTGGCTGACTTCGGTCCGCACCCAAAATTTAGAATCCAGAACATACAGGGTTATTCAGCTAAGACATTGATTGCTAAGATGACCCACCTGAGTCTTTTATTAGTGTGGCAACCCAAAATAAATTACAGTTTTGCTGCTGGATTTCAACTTTTTTTAAAAAATAATTTGCCTCCAAGTTTTGCCTTCAAATAAACTTATTAAATTAAATTATTATTATTAAATTTGAAAAAAAAATAGAATGAAACAAACCTGAACTAATTAAACAAAGACTTACAAAAACTAGGTACTAATAAATACTCAATGTAACCTCCATCGTTCCTTTCGCAAGCGTCAATTTTGTGCATACGATCTTCTAACTCAAGTAAATAGTGCGGAACCAAATGATTTGCAAACTTTCGTTACACGATTCTGACTTTAAAAAATATAATTAAAAGGTATTTATAAACTTTTTCTTTAAAAACTTCCAAAAAAAATGATCTCGTGGTGTGAGATTCGGACTTCGAGCAAGTCAAAGGCCAATAGAACCTTGTCGTATCCAAATATCAGTTAATTGTTGGTTCAAGTATCTTCCAAAGATTCTACTATTGGAACCAACACTCTCTTCACAAAGCAAATGGCAAATTTTCCAATCGAGGCTTCGAGTAATTTTGCAATAAATTTATTTCGCTTAAATTACTACATATAAGAATGCATCGGTACTTTTAATTACTGTCAAATGACAACAGCTCACATTGACATTTTTACCAGCGTCACACACTCGGATTTATGTAAATAAATTTTAAAATATAGGTTGAAAACCAGAAACAACTGCAATCGGTATTTTGGGTTGCCTCTCTAAAACGCTTAAATGGGACTGGAACTGGATGGATCATCTTATTAGTCTATGATCTTAGTTGAATAGCCCTGTATTTGTGAATTTGTGTGCACATGGAATAATTTCAAGCATGTGATAAAAATCATCACTTAGAACTGAAACAATGTGCGAACTTACATTTATTCACCATGTAAATAACAACCATTTTTGTGAATATCAAACGATTTTGTGTAAGCAATATCGCTATGTAATCGCACCTTAAGGTCTTGCCACGTGCTTGGTATCTGACACTGACAGTTATTTGTGTGAACTGTCAAAAATGGAGTAGATGAGATGTTAACAAATTTTTGTGTTTTGTTTTTTGTTGTGCCAAAAAATTCAGTACCCAAAACTACAAACTGGACACAGTAAGATAGCTATATTCAGCATATTATGCGTTTTTTTTTTCATATTTTATTTATTATTTCAAGCTGTAAGGTGTGACCATTATTTTGCACTCGATTTACATTATCACGTAGGTAGATACATATGACCTGTTTGTTTAATAAATAATTGATTTATAATTAAAAAGCAAATTATGGACATACATACTACAATCTACATTAGTTATTTTGTTGTGTTGTAGTAGTAATGGCCAATTGCAAAACAAAACGTGCATTGTTTATAATTTTTTGAAAGAGGATCTGAATGAATACCTACTTTTTGTTACGGAGCACTACTCTCAAAATAATTTCAGCGGTATGTGTAACCATCATCTGAAATTTGGTGATGATTGTTACATTTGCTTTTGTTTATTATTAATGGTAAATTACGGTGTAATGTATACAGGTTTACTCACAACAAACTTGACGCCTGAAAAATTTAAAACCCAATCAACAGTACAATTTCATAGCAGTCTTTGATATTTAACATCATTTCTGTTCCAAGTTAAACATAATGAGCTGTTTAGTTTTGATAATTTGGAAATAAACGTCAATTGTTGGGTTAAAATAAAAAAAAAACAAACAAATTCAAAACAAGAGCTCGTCACGACATCCCTGTACGAATAATGTTTTCTACACAACCGTGAAGCACTCACACTATAGTACGGCAAACAATAAATAATGCAAATGACTCCAATTATGGGTACTGTTACTGTAAAATCTCCAGTCACCTTCGACGCTGTACCCTGTGTAGAGGTGTCAAAATTAGTGGCTTGTAACTTTCGATCGTATTTGTTCTCTATTAAATGCGTTCCTAATGCGCAATGGTTTTATTGCAGGTTGTGGTCTAAAGTACCCCTCATAAAATAATTGACGGCGTTTGCATTTATCTTTTGCCGTACTTTATATTAAAATCATGTCAGTCTTTCCGTCATTTCAACACACTCTGCATCAGTTCTGACGAAATGTCGGTTTTAACCTGAGAGTATCCGACACTACGTGAATGTTGTTTTACAAAACAAATAAATGATAAATATGTTTTCCTTAAAAAAAAAAATAGGTCGAAGATTATTTTGACAGAACTTCCCCGCCCTTGAAGTACAATAAAACATATGCACCTGTTTTGAAAAATTACAAAATTTGATTTTGCATATTTTATTTTTTTAAGAGTACCTCTATAAGTTAAAATAAAGGTAAAGAAGCGTGCTACCGTGTGTTTCAAACGAGTTTCTCCGTTAGAAAATTTTGTGAAGACGTCATCAACATCTTTTGCAAGGACACATGTTTCAGTTTGGATAGGTGCAATGAATGTAATACAATATTGAATTCCCAAATTTTCGGGAAAAGGGAGTGAACCGTTCCTTAATTTTTGGAGTCACCCTGTATAAGTAATTCTAAACAAGCCATCACATCATAAAACGAAATTATGTATTTCTTTTCGAGCATAGTATAGTGTCGATAAGAAACGATTATTTTCGAAACTCAAGGAATTATATGTGTAAAAGTTAACTTCCTTAACAATAGATTACTACTGCTAGTGATGGGACAGTCATAAATAAGGATTTAACCATTATACTGTACAAATGGTATTGGCATGGTTAAATCCTTATTTATGACTGTCCCATCACCGGCAGTAGTAATCTATTGTTAAGAAAGTTAACTTTTACAAAATGGGGTATTATCATAAGACCGAATTACAACTGGGGAAACTATACCAACATAAAAATGCATTCGTCTGGCTCATCAAAATGGGAGACTCTGGGTAATTCTGTATACGAAACATTCAATGAATGGCGCTAGCTAAGCCAAGGAGGAAACACTTGCAATTTTAACTGAGAAAAAAATCACCGTGATGTATCAATGTTTACCTGTATTTCTCAGAAGTATTTTGCTACGCATAAGGGTTTACTCTTTTATATATAGAGTGAGTCATTTAGCGCACGGTCCTCCATTTCTCATTCATTTTTAGAGATAGGAAACAAGTTAAAAACCAAAGTTGTACGGTTCGTTGCGGTTGAGGAGAATGCATAAAAATTATTTCCGAATATAGTGTTGTTTTTTTGAGAAATAGCCCATGACTTGGTTTTTTAACTACAACACCTAGTTATTTTTAGATCTTCTTAATAGTCTTCCTATAGGTGTCATAACCATTTTTTAATTTAGAAATTCTAATGTGACGTTGCAAGGTTATTGCAATTTTCTTGAATTTGTTTCATAACGCGTGATTTAATAAAAAATCGCAATAATCTTATTTTTAAGATCTGCGATGCAATATTTTATGGAAGCGCCCTTTGCAGTGTCGCTATGAAGATGAACCTAGAAATTTTTCACAGAATTTTTTTAACTATTTATGTTGAAGACCGTTGCTGAAATTAGAATTTGATTAATAACGGAGTTAAATTTTAGCTGGAGACAGCTATAAATTTAAAAAAAAGATCAACAACAGATTCCTATGTCTACCGATACTATAAATTCTGAAAAAATATGATGGTTAAGAAATTAATTATTTTAGTGAGATATAAACGATTTATTCCAAACTGAATTTTACGTATTCGTAAACGCATATGCAGGATATATATATTACTGTTAATTTACTTTTATAAACTGAAGTCTGTTTACTTTAGTTCAATAAATTTCTCCTCGATTTTTAATCAAATATTTATTATGGAAAGTAACATTTCGAAGACTGATTATCTTCTTTATCGATCTACAATAATATTATTTTAAAATTGATACTAGGGTAGGTAATAATTAGAATTTACAAGCCACTCTTGGCGCGTGATTGCACTTATTTTATAAGCTGAAAATTTTTGATAACATTTTTTGTCACAAAAAAATTAATCTTCCAGTTCACTTGATTCACACTAAAGAATAGATATGGCTGTTATGGACAAAAAAGTTAAATTCGGCTGCTTGTTGGAAGACAAAATCAAATTAAGGATCTGCGATTTATGTTGTTCAACATATGGCCACTTAATTATTGCATTTTGGGCATCAATTCTTTTCACTTAGAAATTACACCGGGTGATTTTTTAAATTTCTCTTCTAGTCACTCAATTTATGACGCTTACGTCAGCTGTGAAATTGACACTACTGAAGGAAGCGTCATGGGTAACCAGAGCAGAAATTTAAAAAATCACCCGAATAAGATCACCTCAATAAGTGGCCTTCGGGAAATTCTTTATTAAAAAAAAGCCCCAAATTTCGCGAGTTTCATATTCTCAGTACATTTATGCATACATTTTCGTTAATATGAATTGATATTTTTTAAATGAAAAATTTCGAGTTACAGAAATGTTTTCACTGTTATTTTGTTACAGGTTTTAAATGCATCTATGGATAACTTTGAAACCTTGTCTAATTGTTCTGAAACTTCCAGAAGTTCGGAATCCGTGTCTTCCAATATTTCAACTTTATCCACCTTGAGTGACTATCAGGATGAATTTGTAGAATTAAAGCAGGTACTAAATGAAGAAAATGTATTGACAGACACTACAAAAACTGGACTTGTTGCGACGAACATTATACGGTGTTATGATAAGCAAATTGTAAACTTAAATGCACAATTACAAAACGCCTTAAAACAAAATGAGACATACAAAAACGAAATTTATAGCTTGGAAAAGAAAAAAGATCTTTTAGATGGCGCTAAAATCGGAAAGTTGTTGAAACAAAATAAACAATTGGAAGATAGTCTATCGGCAGCTAATAATCAGATTAAGCGATTAATTGATATTTGTCATAAAAGGGATGACTTTGATGAAAACATGGTTATTTTAGAAGAAAAAAATTTACATTTGGAAAAAGCGAACCATGAGTTAACAAATCAGATTTATTTATTATCAAATAAAATTAACCACTGCAGTTTTCAAAAAAATGAAATTGAAAATGAATGCAGAAATTTTAAATCTGAAATGAATGATTTAAAGTTAGAGCTAGCTGTAAAAACGGAATGTGTTAATGAATTAAAGAGGAAGTTATCACAACAGCATGTTCAATTAGAAGAAGTATTACAAAACAATATAAAATTGTCGCATTCACTTGAATTAATTTCAAATGACCTACAATATGCAAAAAAATCTGAAAATTGGTATAAAATGGAGTTACAACGTATTCAAGAAGAAAAAAGTAGCCTCTCTGATAAGATTTTTAAAAACGAACGAATCATTGCGTTACAGGAAGAAGACATAGAACAGTTAAATTTAGAACTAAATAGTATGAAGTGTGCTTTTGATGGAATTCGCCTCACCGCATTAAAGGAGAAAGAAGAAATGTGTAAAGGTGTCGAGTCTGTAAACCGTGATAAGCACTTAACAAAGGATAATGAAAGCCTTAACATTTCTGACAGTATTATCAGTAGCATTGGAGGTATCAGTAGTCATTACGAAACAGTCATCAGTGATTTAACAAATGATGTTCAAAAGATAAAATCAGATTTTGAACAACAACGGCAATACTTTGAGAATGTTTCAAAAGAAAAAGTTGAAGTATTAAGTAAATACTTAACTTTACAAAGTTCTCTTGCGGAAAAGGAAAATACAATAGAAAAATTAGAAAGCAACATAAAAGCTTTAAAAAATCAGTTACTCTTGGAAAATAGTAGACGAGAACAGCAAAACGTAGAATTGCTTGACTTAAAAAAAGCTTTCACGAAATTAGAAGTCGAACTAAATTTGAATAATAAAGACAAGGAAATGTTTGAACATACGGTTACTACGATAAGAGAACAATTTAAAGTATTAAGCGCCAAATATCTGCAATTAAAAAGCGAACAACAATGTGCGAATAAAGAAATATTGCAGTTACAGTACGAAAAGCAGGAATTATGTGTGGATAATAATCAAAAGACTGCTGAAATTAAAAGAAACAGGGAAAAAGATGCACTGGAAATAAAAAAATTGAAGCAAAAAGTAGTTTTCTTGGAGGGAGTTGAAGCAGAAGTAAAATTTGAAAATAAGAAGTTATTAGAGACTATTAACAAGTTAAATGAAGAACTAATGCAGTTGAAAACACAAGTTAGCAAATTCCACACTCAATATGCGGATATTACTTCAAAATATGAAGATAGTAATAGTGTTCAAACTCATTTACAAGAAGTTGAAGACTCAGGTCAGTTTTATCCGTCTCTGGAAACGAGTCGAGAAGATTCCCATTCTTTCAGACTTACGAACCTAACAGATACACTAAAATATATTTGCCAGTTATGTAAAATGCATGAAAATGAGTATAGGAGAAATTTTAGCGAGCTTTCAGAAGACGAATATGTTAAGTTGTTATTGCATAAAATCGAATCATATCATCGTTTCGTTGATACACAGATTAGTGCAAATGGTAGAAAAAAGTTATGTGTAAGTAAAAGAAATATTTTATCGAAAATTTTACGCTTGGTTGAGAGATGTAAAATGTTGGAGAAAAAAACGGAAGACAATTCAGAAATGTTAAAATTAAATGCAATAGACGGCAAACATGACAAAAATAGTATTTTCAACGAAGAAATTCGGCGTCTACATGTGAAGCTTGAAGTAAAAACCCAAGAAGAAAAGGAAAAACGGAAAAAGTAAGACATAAATGTACCATTTGTGTTATGTTAGTTATATTGGAACATTTTACATTGAAAAATTTCGTAATTTTTGCTAAAAAAAAATAATTAAATGAATTAAAAAATAGAGTCCTGTAGTTACAATCATTTGTTGCAATGAGGCCGTTCATCGTTGCGAGGTATGTAGTTTTGATATCAAACAAAAGGGCACTTCATAGCATAGTAGTTCTAAATACTTATTATTGAAGTTATATGCTGCCGCCAACAGTTAAAACTACAATTACTAGCGATATTTGAAAAGAAACTTAGTTCGGCCTGTGGAAGTATGTCAATTGTTATTGAAATCAGCAGCTACAAATAATTTGATAGTTTATTTACACTACTGTATATGTCAGTTATAGTTTTTGTGATTTTCTTTTTTAAGGTATGAAAGAAATTATCGCACTTTATTGAGGAAAGTAAAAGAACATATGAAAGGACGGAAGTTTGCAGAAAAACGTAATGATTACTTGCAGGAACTGCACAGTACATTATCCAGTGAACGTAATACACTTTGTCTGCAATTGGATTTAAAGCGCTCAGAATTAAAAGAACTCCAAGATCGCGTGGAAAGATATTCTAGTGCTAATGAGAAATTAAAATCCGTTGTGTCTAAACTTGAGAATCAATTTGCTAATTTTACTTCACGTTGTAAATGTGATGAGTTGGAAAAAATCGAAAGCAGTTATATCCAGTTGGAACGATCTTTAAAAGAATGTGAAAACCATAAAAATGCTAGTATAGCCGAATTAAAGTTAAAAGAGGAACGATTTGATATTTTACATAAAGAGGTATCGTTTTTTCAAGCTGGTTTTTTAATATTTTTTTTATTTATTTTTTTTTTGTAGAATAAACGTTTACTAACAGAAAATTCTTCCTTGTGTGCTAGAGTATTAGATCTTGAAAGTGAATTAACAAAAATAAAATCTTGTGAGGCGCAGTTAAGAAACGAACTTGTTTTTGTGCAAAATAGTATTTCTACAACACGTGCTGATAATGCAGAGTTGAACAGTCAGTTGGACGAAATTACAAAAAATCACATCCAGCTGCAGCAAGAAGTAGAAGTAATGAGTGAGTATTATGTTAAATTCAAATAACTGTTGCGTTTGTTTTAGCAACTGAAGTCGTGCCTTCAGAGAAAATCCGAAGAGATTAGCGAATTCAAATTACGGAAAGAACAGACCATGCGCAAATGGACAGAAACAGAAACAAACATGCAGAACTTAGTAACCACTTTAAAAAATGAAGTTTATAACTTCAAAGGAGAAATCCATTTACTTAAAAACGAGAAGCTTTTTCTCCAAAGATTGTGTAACGACTTAAATGTAGCACTGAAAACACATGTTAGTCAGAATAAGGTAGGTATTTATTTATAAATGCTTAAACGAAATTCTTCGTGTAAATATTATTATCAAAGTAAACATATAAAACAAATGCATGTTAATATTGCAGATTTTTTTTTCGTATGTCCTCTTCTCACGAAGGATCTTTTCTAAAGGCATTCAAAACATCAAAGCGATATTTTAAATCAATAAGAAAAAATAAGATGTGTTGGGAATAGAAGTATTCGATTGAGCTTATCAATAACAAAAAGCATTTTAAAAGACAAAACAACAAAAGGCCCATATTACTTTTTTTATGTCTTCTAAGATATTTTGTTGGTCGTACATACCCAGGAACCAAGTACGTAATTTACGTGATTTCCAAAAATCGTTTTTGTGTAATTCGTAAAAATTATAAGTTTTTTATGAAGATTTGTTTACTAACAGGTAGTTAGCGTACTTTTATCATGTCGCTTGTTGATAACTGAAGCAATTAGGTATGAAGTGCTTTATACAGGAACACATTTTTATACTAGATGGTACAGTGAGTCCAAGGGCGTTGTATTAATTAACTAATTATTAGTATAACGTCCTTGAGTGAGATCAACATAAATTAATTGTGCTAAATTGTTGTATTGTTAAAATATATAAACATAAATCAGCTAAAAAAATTGGATAATTTTTGTTTAAGTAGGAAATATGACGAAACGAAAAGTTTACAGTCTTTTTTTAATAATAATAATAAATAAATAAATTTATTCTCCAACAGGCAGTGTTGCCTATAATGGATACAAAAATTAAATAGCAATACATGCGACAAATACATAGTAAATAAATATATACCTATAACGTAGAGACATTTATGTAAAAACACAATTGCAATCTTGATAAAAAGCTAACACTCTCTTTTTGAATTTAGAAGAATTAAAATTTATTTAGAAAATATCTTCATCTAAGCTCAGACAATTATACAACTTTATGCTGGAAATCAATGGGCTGTTAAAGTGATGATGTGTATTCGGAATTCTGTAGAAAAAGGTGTTGTATGATCTGGATCCTATCCTGGGAACTAACAAGTTTAACTCATCTGTTGATCTGCCCATTGAGGACTTTTTGTAAAAATACCAATTTGGAAATATTTCGCCTAGCATATAGTGAACTTTCATTAGCAGACCAAATAATAAGTTTACGCTGTTCATAATGCCGTATTGGGTAATGCCCAAACATTTTAAAATATAAGTGTTTACAAAATTTTCTTAATATATTTTCTAAACTATTAATATGTATTTGATACAATGGACTCCAGATGATGCTACAATATTCCAGTTTGGAAGACCATAGAATAGGAGTTTAATACATGATACATTTTGAAAATCAGATGTATTTTGTATAATAAATCCAAGCATTTTTAGTGCAGAACAATTAATATGTGCGGAACAAAGGTTAATTTTGAGTCCATCATCACACCTAAGTCTAACACTTGATCACATAACTCTAAGGGAGTGCCTTTAACATTATAATAAAATTAGAAAACGAATGTAATATGTAATACAATCAAGTGAAGGCCAAATGATAATGCAATATTCAAACTTGAATTAAAGAAAGAATTTAAATATATTATTAAAGGCCAAAATTCAGAGATCTCAAAATAAATCGCAGCAACTTATTAGCTTTGGGAATCAAATAACATTATAAAAAGGAAATAATAACTCATATCCAATGCCACTGGATTGACGCGGAACTGATGATACATATTTTCTTTTAATATTCTGTGAACTGAGCACAAATTGATTCCCATTTCTCTTGAAATTTATCTTTGGCTGGCCTGTGAATTTTCATCGATTTGTTAAATCTATCTCTTTTATCTGAAAATAGCATATAACCGGCAAGATGCAGAAATTTTTTTCTTACTCTGAAGATAAGTTAAAATCATCACATTTCTCATCGTTACATTACATGCCAAATAATAATCTATTATGGCAAAAATGTAATCAATATTTTGAAGATAAAAGTCATCATAGTTTTATGTTTAGTTTTAAAATAATAAATATAAAGTGTGTAAAAATGATTCTAAGTGGAGACACATTTCTATCACACGTTATTTAAAAAGTATCTAATTCGTGTGAAAATTTGTAAGAATTATACCTATATAGGTGTTGCCAGCTTGAACAAATCTGATGTCAAAGATCGATCAGTACCTACACAGTTTGTGCTGTAACTGCTTTTAGTATTGAATACAAAAAATAAGGTCTCTAATGTTCATGCAAATTTTATATTCATCTTACCTGATGGTTAATCCAAGTTTACGTACTTACATGTCAATGACCAAGTGGGATACGGACAAATATGCCAAGTATTTACAACAAAGTTCGTATACACATTATATTTTTACGTTTTTGTTTGTTTTGCTTTCATAATAAAAATAGGAGTTTATACTAACCGCGAGAGATTAATATATTTTTTTTATTTCAGTTGCTGAAAAAATGCGTGGAAAGAGCATGTGAGGAACGAGAGCAAATTGGTAATGATACCGATATTTTGTCCAGTTTTCCCAGTCCTATAAAATGTGATGATAGTTACATTGAAAAGCTGTTGCAAGAAAGTACGACACCTATTCAGGATAAACCTTACTGTGATATTCAGGAATGTCTTAATACGCTCAGAAAAGAAATTTTATGTTTACAAAAACAAATAGTCGAAAAAATGTAACTTGTTGAAGATGTTTGAAGATAATATTATTTGTTATGTTTTAAAAATGTACTTAAACATGTTGTTAAACAAATTTTATTTATCAATAATTTATGTTAATTTTTATTTTAAAAATCCAAATTTATTTGGTTGAGTTATTCAACCAATAATACGGAAAGCATCTACCTATTATGCGTGAGCAGTTCAGTCGGACCTCACTGGCATGTGTTTAATTGTCAGTTAGATGTACGGATGGTTGAAAGTTGTCAATTTTGACATAGGCGTGTCTAAACACGTGTTGGGAGGATAACAACTACTGACTTGATGTCAAATGCCAATTGGACAGTCACGTATTCCATAATAAAATTTTGAATATGTGGCCAATCTGACCAATAAATGACATAATATTTTTGTACGACCATTGCTTTTTCGATCATTTACCGTGTAGGTTTCCATAGCAGTAAGTTCAGTTTACGGGTTGCTACGACTAACAACCAAGAGGCGAACGGTAAGCAAATTACTTACTGTTCAGCTGAACGGTAAGTAATCACGCATTCAAGATTTTTTAAATTTTAAATTCCATGCTTGTTCGACTTCGATATTTTCGCTTTCAGAATCACTCATGATTGATATTTTAAGCAAATAAATCACTCACTAATAGTCGCGGAAAGAAAATTAACTCGAAATCAAGCCAGATCAAATCTAAATCGACAGCGGTCAAAATGGAAACTGATTTTTAAAATTGTTGTTTATATTAATCGAAACCATAGTAACAAATTTTTATTAAAAAAAAAGACCTGTTGATGTTTGATATAAATTCTTTCAATTTATGAATTTGATAAAAAGACGCAAATCTTTTGATGGTCGTACAAAAAATAGTATAAGCATCACGAACGTTAAGGGGGTTTACTGGTCTCAGACAAATCGGAGACGTCGCTTCGCTCCGTCTCCAAACTTTTGTCTTCGACCAGTAAACACCCCTTACCGTTCTTAATATTTAATATACTATTACGCTATATTTACATCATGGACTTTTTTAAAATTCTTTAATACCTATTAAGAAAATCTTCTTTATTAACCATCTTTAAAAAAATCCATGACGTCATTAAGTCTGGAGCTAATTTCAACAGTATTTAATAGAACATTTTGTGTATTGTTTATCGGGAAAAGCTGCAAACTATATTTCAAAGAAGTTGACAAAAAAACTTATAAATAAAAAACTCCTTGAAATATGTATATGTAGTTACGAAGCTGCAAAAATCCACATTTTCTTTCCAATCAAAACCCTTTTTTGTACACTACAGCAACCCCTAGCATTCATCAGTGCTACACATTACGTAAAGGCTAGGGTGTTTCCAACAAGAAGATATTTTACAACTACCATCTAACTGAAGGACAGAAAGACCATTGTTCTTGTTAAAGAAAAAAGTTATCCGCCTTCACACTATTCTGCTGTAAACACATCTGAATCAGTTAAGATTCCAAAAACTAACGTATCCCTATCTGAAAACGAATTTTTGTCGAACCCGACCGTACTGCTAACGTCAAATCGAATGTTAATTGAATGAATCAAGATAATTTAATAAAGCAAATACGAATTACCATCAAAGTAGAGTACTTCACAATGTCAGCGGCAAGGCAGAAAACTCACATGTCTCCCTTCAGGACGTTTTTACTTGTATTTTACAAAAAAAATATCAAAGCATTAAACATTTTGACTTGACTCAAATAAGTACCTACATATTTCACTTACCAAACTTTGTAAATAATGCAGATTTTTTTAAAATAAATCAATCTTTACATAGGTAATTTAATAAAAAAAATTGTTTATTTAAATGCATATTTATACCTCTGTACTTTTAATCGTAGAATTGGTTATATTAAGCGAAGCAACAATTTTTATTCCTTTGACATTTTGTTTTAGAAAATCGCAAATAATTTTTGAATTGAAATTATTTTGGTGAAGATTACTACATTTGTTTTTGTAGAAAACGATGAACGATTTTTCTAATTAAGTTACAAGTGATTTCTCATAGATTGAACATTGAACCTTGATGTGACACACAAGAAATATTCTTCCATATTGTCTACGTCTATGAAAAAAATCTTGTTTAGTTGAAAACACTATATGAAAAGACTTACATTTTAAATATCTGGATTTTTTTCTCATGTGACATTCATTGTTTTCTTTCGACATCTTTCAGTTACGGTATTGTTATGGATGTATAGTTGATCCAAAAGTTTTTAGGTAAAGGTAGGCTGTGATGAACACACGTAAGCTTGTCCAATTTCTTTCCAATGAACTTACGCTCTCTGTGTATCATCCTCTACATGCGTTCGTCACAGCTCCTATCCCCTTTTTTTGAAAAACTTTGGATTTTAGGGTATGATGCAGTTAAAATACATGAGAGTCAAAGAAATGAGCAAAATATATAATTCAGTTACGAATTGTGAGGTATTAAAAGTGAGTATATTGTTACGAAATAAACCATACGCTGCCTATGGGTTTTATCGAGAGCTTTCTAGTTTGCACGGCGATGATGGGTGACTCATCGTCGGTGACGGCGGCCGGACGTCGCAGCGTTCGCTAAAGAACAGCCTGGAAGCGGAAGTCGCGATGAGTAGTTTGGAAAAACCTCGACCGCCGAATATTTAGAAAGGAAGTTTAAATAGAGGCCACTTTCGGGAACGAGTCGAGTTCAGTGAATGTTGAGAGAATCCGGTCAAGTTGCTTCGGAATTATTTTGTACATACTTAATCACTGTGTAATTAGTCGTGTAAATTTGAGTTACTAAGAAATAAATTGTTGAGTTTTACCTACGCCGATTTTAAATACCCGTTCAACAATATGTTGCTTTATTGTGAGAATAATTTGTCGTTTGTCTGTCGATAGTATATCACTAATCACCGAAACTACGTGACAGGTTGTAGTGAAGTTTTGCATGTAATTTAATAATATTTAATAAGATTATGATTGCTAACCCAAATTTGTCTGGCCGTGATCATCTTCACTAAAAATATAGAGATCATTTCAGATTTTGCTGAATAAGTCCTACCTAACACGTAACATACGAAAAATAATATGTTTCTGTACTTGCGATTTGTTAAAATTCAAAATTTTAGAATTTATCTTAGAAGATTACAAAAATTAATTGCTCTGAAATTTTGTACAGGTTTTACGGTTTTTGTGGACATCGTAAATTGCAGTCGCATGTTCGATGCCAAACCTGAAGGTTTTTTTTCTCTCGCGTTGTGTATTATCTATGTTTATGACATCATAACATATTTTTTATTGATCAAATTAAGAACGAGTCACCCCATTTTCTCGAAAGGGTGAGAATACACAGGTCTTTATTTAATAAGAATTGCAATAATAATATTCAGAATATTCTATTCGACTGTGGCTGAGGCAAAAATTTTTGTCCCATGTTTTGAGGCGACGAAGTCATTCATATCAAACACGTAACATTCTTCCGTTGTATAAACAAACACGTGAAGTTAAAGCTTGTTATTGCTAAGAGCCTATTTTTTTTTCCGTTGATTATCTGCTTTAAATATTCTCTCCATTATTCTTTTGCAATTTGCAGAATCCCTTGTAATTTGTGCCCCCACGGCACAGCACAGGGGTTGTGGTAGTGTAATTTATGCCGCTGGTTTTCAGTTTATAGAGGTTATCGCAAAACAAATATTGGAAAATCTAATTTTATAATTCTTCAAAGAAACGAAATTTGTTGGACTTGTACTTCGGGATCGAGGGAAGTTCTGTCGAAATAAACTTCGACCAATTTAAAAAAAATATATTTTTGATGTCAGGTGATACGCAAGTGTCTTATTAAACATTCATAAAAAAAATGGTTCAAGGTTATTTAGTCAATACATCCCTTGTCCCTGAAGGAAAGGTCAACAACTACAGATACATCGAAAAATTATTAAATTTTATTTTGCGAATTGTATTTTTTGATAACAACCTTTAAGTTTAGTTAAAAAAAAAGTGGGATTTCGTCTGATGGACTCGATTACTATACTTCCTTAGCTTACGCTCCGGAAGTAAAAAGATAGGTGTGGGCTGTCAAAGTGCAGGTAAAGAAGTATGATGTGCGTATATTTCAAGTGAGTGTTCCATTACAAAATTTTGTGATGACGCCATCAACATTTTTTTCAAGGATATTATATTATTTTGGTTAGGTGCAGTAAAATACTAATAATAACAGTATGTTTCTCAATTTTCGAGAAAATGAAGTGAGCTGTCCTTGATTTAATCTATAAAATAAATGCACTCATTCATTAATTATTTTGACTTGCCCTGTATAAGTAAAATATGTATGTACTGATAAACTACAACTATAGACTGAGAATATTTTGCATATTTTAAATAGGATTTATACGTCAAAATTTTGAAAGGACATCATCATTTTTTTACAGGGGATTCACAGATATGTTCTGATTAATTACAAATTTACAATGGTTACGATAACTTTAAAACGTCTGCAAAATTTCAAAGCATTCTATTTTGGAGTTTCAAAGTTAAATTGCAAATGTTCTAAATTTGATTTTGTTTCAAAAATTTAGATGTCTAAGGCAAAAACTCAACGCAGATTTATAAACCACAAATGCAGGAGTAAGTTATTTTATAAATTTAAATAGGGTATATTATAGTAGATTTTGGAGACGACTTTATCCCATTGGTGGTGGGGATGATCAGACAAATTTTGGTTAAGGTTTTCCTAACACATATAACATTTGATGACAATCGGTCCAGTAGTTTTTGAAAATCTTTGTCTAACATTGGCACAGCGCGGATAAACGGTAAGCCGACAGACAGAGAGAAAACTGAAAGTAGCCAGTCGCAATACTTTCTTAGCTTACGTTCACGAAGTACAAATATAAATAAAATTCGCAATTACTTTCCACCAATTTTTTTCATAGGAAAAACCTGAAACATGCCGAAAACGTACATCTACATAATTTTTAATGAATAAGATATACCTATTACATTTTAAAAATGTATTGAAAATTGCAGTAGAAATAATCTGGTATAATTATTGGTGTGTACGTATTTTTTTTAAATAGCCGTGCTGTTCAATCTTTATTAGTGTTTTTTTCCAAACCCAG